TTTTGCATAATTTTTAGCCGGGCTTATTGCTCAAAGAGCAATTGCCGGCTTATGTGATCCTGTTCAAGGCAGGATGTTAACCCAATAGTCGCCATTTTAAAGTTACGCGCAAAAATATAGTTCTTACTCTCAACCGCTTTTGAGATAATACAAACGCTAAATAAAGCAACAAAAAAAAAAAAGAAGTTTTATCTATATAAAATAAACATTTGTAGTAATGACTTTGAAAACTTCATAAGTCAAAGAACATAGTTCATTAGCGTAAGGATTTTTGATAACCAGTGTTACCTTAGTTCTCTACACATACGAGGTAAAGCAGGAGAGGGAACCAGGCTGACCTGTTTGTCTACATTCAGCTACGGTACCAGACTAATTCTGATTCTGACAAAATCAGACCGTGGTATTAGGATTGAAAAACTCACTGTCAGTGTCTTATCATTTATATTGATAGTTTTAAAATAATTTTTTCATCAGAATATAAACGTGATTCATGTAAGAAATCCATTCTACTCTGTAAATGAGCCCGGCTCTCTGTACTTCTGAGTACTTTGATTAATTTACCGATCAAGAGTTCCCTTAATTCTCTAGAGTTCTCTGTTTAATAACACGCTTACATACGGTTTGTACATAACGTTTATTTTTAGCTCTACTGGTCAGAGACCAGAAGAGCTTATGCGATAGTAATGCGTCCGTCGTCCGTCCGTCTGTCTGTCTGTCTGTCTGTAAACGATTTTTCAAAATGCTACTCCTCCTACAGTTTTGGTCCGATTTCAATATAACTTGGCACACAAGTAGACTACACTAAGATACATAATTTTGTGCATCGGTTTTTGATTTCGATGAATGGTGTTGCCGTGGTTACTAAAAATAGAAATTTCTTTGAAATTCTTTCAAAATGCTACTCCTCCTACAGTTTTGGTCTGATTTTGATATAACTTGGCATACAAGTAGACTACACTAAGATACATAATTCTGTGCATCGGTTTTTGATTTCGATGAACGATGTTGCCGTGGTTACTAAAAATAGAAATTTCTTTGAAATTCTTTCAAAATGCTACTCCTCCTACAGTTTTGGTCCAATTTCAATATTACTTGGCACACAAGTAGACTACACTAAAATACATAATTCTGTGCATCGGTTTTTTATTTCGATGAACGGTGTTGCCATGGTTACTAAAAATAGAAATTTCTTTGAAATTCTTTCAAAATGCTACTCCTCCTACAGATTTGGTCCGATTTCAGTATAACTTGGCACACAAGTAGACTACACTAAGATACATAATTTTGTGCATCGGTTTTTGATTTCGATAAACGGTGTTGCCGTTGTTACTAAAAATAGAAATTTCTGTGAAATTCTTTCAAAATGCTACTCCTCCTACAGTTTTGGTCCAATTTCATTATAACTTGGCACACAAGTAGACTACACTAAGATACATAATTCTGTGCATCGGTTTTTGATTTCAATGAACAATGTTGCCATGGTTACTAAAAATAGAAATTTCTGTGAAATTCTTTCAAAATGCTACTCCTCCTACAGTTTTGGTCTGATTTCAGTATAACTTGGCACACAAGTAGACTATACTAAGATACATAATTCTGTGCATTGGTTTTTATTTTGATGAGTGGCAAGGATCATTTTTCTATTTATTGCTGATTTAAAGTCTCAAGTCCCAACTGCTACTTTTCTCTTCCTTTGTTTTAAGTATAAACCAGTAGAGCTACAGTCTCGACAGAGACTTCTGGTTCATTATGGGTTTATTGCCAATTTCTGATTTCTCTCAAATAGATTTTTTCTCTCATTTACTCTTGTTACGATATCATCTTGCATGGAGGAAAATATTTAAGTGCGTGTGATAACTTTTCCTACTGTATGAGCTTCCTTGTCAAAAAAGAATGTTTCTCAGTTTTCAAACTTTATTTAAATAAATGCAGACATTGTCCTTTGTAGGTAATTCCTCTTCTAAAACACTTTATAATAACAAAATACTCTGAAACAATTTTACTGAAAATCAGAATCTGCATTGATTTGAAATTCAGGGAGTAAATACACTTTGGCATGTTTGGGGTAAAAAAATATCTGGAGCTCTGCAGTAAGAGTTAGTGCATTTTATTTGCATATATATTATATGGTGTCTTCTACTATTCCCACTTTTTAAAAATCTCAATTCCACCTATTTCCACTTGCAAATACCAATAGATGTTTAGATGGTGTGTTCCCTGAACGTCTACTCCCTATATAAACAGTATAATTATCACACATAATTAAGGGGCCCCTCTAAGGGACATAGGTAGAGTTTACCTGTATTATCTGAGTTTTAAACTGTATGAATAAACTACCTGCATTTATAAGACTGTGTCAATGACTTATATAGGGGAAATCTTAGCTACAAGTCCTATAAAATAAATTAAATGTTATTCAAATTTTTAAATATTCTTTCCAAGTATTTACTAGGTATTTTAGTCAATTTATATTATTCAATGTTTCAAAAATCTTACCAATAATTCCTATAAAATGAATTAAATGTTATTCAAATTTTAAAATATTTTTTTACTCAAATTTTCAAAGTATTTATTTTCATTTTGTAGTAAAAAAAAACTACCTTCATCTGTTTTCCATTTTATTATTGAAAAGCATATTAGATAGTACTTAAAATGTGATTTTAATGAAAAGTGCTCAAAGTGTTTTTTATGTATTTTAAAAATAAAATATTTGTAAATAATAAACTTGTTATCACTTTACAAATATTGTGTCATAGTGCTTGTAATGAAAGGTACTGAAATAAAAATAAAACTATTTATATGAAAAAAAACCCCACTTGTTGGTTGTCTTGAATTATAGTTATTTAATCAAATAAATCAAATAAATTGTGGTTTGGTACATATTCTTTATCAGAAAAATAAATAAATTTATCTGATTTAGACTGTTAAATCAAGATAACACAGGTAAACTCTACCTGTACCCCTCAGAGGGCCTCTTAATTGAGTGTGATAATTATACTGTTTATATAAGGAGTAGACGTTCAGGGAATAACCCGTTTAGATAGTTAATTTTTTTAACGATAATTATACTAATTACATCCCCTCTTATATTTACCTGTATTTTTTACATTTGAAGACAGAAATTTGGGAGAAATATTATTTTTTTACCTTTAAAAATATGGATTTCAGAAATAACAAAAAGGTCTTATAAGAAAATGCATTTTAAAACATATAATAAATAGATTTATCGAGGAAAGACATTTAAAAATGTGGATTCTAGAATTAATATATTAAGGACAGATGATACAAACAAACTTTTGTCAAAAACTTTGAAAATAAACTTGGATTATCTTTAAATGAATAAAATGAATAAGTTTCACCGAGTAGTTTTTACTTTTTTATTCAAATGTGCACAAAAATAGAATTTGAAGCGAAAAATATTTGTATAGAATGATAAGGATGGTTTCACAAGGGTAGAATTTTGAACGTCACAGAAGGTTTACAATTTCTTTATATTCTAGAAATTTATTATTTGCATCATTTGCAATGAAATTAGGTAAAAAAATCATATACCAATCCAGGCATCCATTTTTTTGTTTGTATCATCTGTCCTTAATGGGAAAAATCTATATTGGTAAAAATTTTGATTTCTTATTTTAAAAAGCAAATACTCTAGTCCTGGCCTCTATAGGTGTACATTAAGTATTGTTTATACAGTAATTGTATGTTTTCATAGTTAATTACTTGTTTACAAAAAAATTTTACCTATTCTCACTTGAAATCTTACCTTTTCCTACCTGATTTTCAAAAAGTGGGAATAGGTAGAATGAACCATATTATATATATAAATATTTATAATATTATAATCATTACAGCCCCGTCCCAACATTAGAACCCTGACCGAGGGGCCATGAATTTCAAAAAATTTGGAAGAGGCATCCTTCCTCATCACAACTATGTACATAGTTCATTGGTTTAAATCCCTGGAGCAGAGGAGAAGATTTTTTAAGAGTTCATGCAATTTTACAATATAATAATTACAACACCAGAACTACTGATCCAGGGGCCATGAAATTTACAACTGTGGAAGAAGCACCCTTCCACATCATAACTATGTACATAGTTCATTGATTTAATATCTAGGACCAGAGGAGACGATTTTTAAAATAAAAAATACATTAAAAAATTTCACTATACATTCAACAGAGCCCCACCCTAGCACCAGAACCCCTGACCCTGGGGCCATGAATTTAACAATTTTGGTAGAGGGCTTAATACGTATTACAATCATGACAGCAGTTTGATTGCTTGATGTCTAGGAGAAAAGATGAAGATTTTTAAAGATTGCATTAATTTTAGTGGTTTTGGCCCCATCCCTCAGGCCCTAGGGAGCAGGGACCATGAAATTCACAATTTTTGTTCCCCTCCACCATTAGATGTTGTATGCCAAAATTGGTTGAGTGGTTTCAGAAAAGTAGCTGAAAATGACCTTAAAAGTGAGAGTGAGTTAGAGTCTCCCTACTTGTACAGAACATGTGCATGATTATGATTTTTTCTTGGAGTTACCACAACACATGTATCGATCGAACACGTGTTTACTAGTATGTTAAATTAGATTCTCAATTAAATTGATTATTATTTCGATGGAATACCTGACCCCAAGACCATAAACCGAGAACTGAGGTCAAAATGTTTATTTTTAATAAAATAAGTTTCATTCATTACCTAAACAGATTACAATTGTGCAAAACAATGCAAACATAAGATAAAAAAATATTTTATTATCAAAAGTATTTCGAAAGTAATGTCGATTTTTAAAATTTGACTTAAGTCTGTTCTCAGCTTATGGTCTCGGGGCCAGTTCTACAATATTCATATGAGCAACTTTTTCTTTCTTAAGAAATGGGGTGTCATTATATGACAATCAACATTCTATTTAAAGATAGCTGAAAACATTCAATTTAAATGGAAAATTTTACCATTTCAATGCTTTTCATTGTATGTTTGAAGTCAATACTAACGTCTTCTGCTGCTTCCATCATAAACTGTTTAGCACCCTCATCCCAGATAGCGGGAACAGTAAGTACCCATTGAATGAGGTCCTCAGTACAATTGTCCGCTACTTTTTCCAAAGTTTCCATTAGGTGCTCTTTGAGGAACTTTATTGCCATCGTAAATATTGCAATCGCAGGCATTTCAATACCGTTTATGTCCTTTATCAAGGTAGACCGCCCTAGTCTCTGTGAATAATACAAAGAAATTTACAACAGTCTATAGTCATTGCAATTGCAATGTTTGGTTTATTTCACACAATAAAGAACATGCGCGGATCTCTAAAGCGGGAGGGGGGGGGGTTAGCTTCCTTAAATCATTTACTAACGGACCCCTCTTGAATACATATGCTTGTATCTAGTGAACATGAAAAAGACTTTTCAGGTTTTGATGAGGATTCTCTCCCTCCTCTAGAAAAAAAAAATCTGGATCCGCGCTTGTTGTTTACCAACTTTATTATTATGAAGAGTCATCTTGAAGCGTTTGAAGTACAGCCATCCCTCATGCTCACTAAGTTCTGTTAGTGATGCGTATTTGTCTTCGGCATCATATCCAAATGAATCGAAGGTTTTATCCGGCTTCAACAGGATCACTGATGGTGCTTTATGAGAAATCAGGGATTGACTCCCAGCTATCCAGTTATAAGCCTTGATTCTCGATGGATCTTGATCAAAATCAACACGAAATGAGAATGCGTACCCAGAATATGTTGTACCAAAGTCAATGGCTGCAACCAAATGTGGTGCTATGAAACTCAACTCTACCTCTTTACTTTGTTTTAACTCCACCTCTTTACTTTGATTTGATTCCACCTCTTTACTTTGTTTCGAGCCCATATTGCTTGATACGTTAGGATAAAAGTGGATGAGATTCTTTTTCTTTGAATCCCCAATGTGTTCCAAGTTTTTGTTTCTTAAAAAAAGAAATAAAATTGTTAAATTTAAATTATACTAATTAATAAGCAAACGATATTTTAAGTGTAACATTACATGAAATACAAATAAAATTCCTGTAATATGACAGGAAAAAGTGTCACACAAAAACATGGCGTATGTTTTAATGACTTCACATAGCAAAACAGACCATTTCTAAACAGATACTTAAGAAATGAACAATAATGTTAAAAAGTTCTCTGGGAAATGAACTTAGTCTGTCACCTGATCAAATCCTGTGAAGCCCGAAGGGCTTCTCAGTATATTTGATCACGTACCAAATTCCGAGTAAAACTGCATTTATTACACGAAGGGGCCGCCGTATTGTTATGTTATGACGTGCAATGACCTAGAAGTTGTTTGGTCTTGAAAGTTCACCTTGTTCCAACATTTGAATGTTTATATTCATGTTTAGCAGTCCAGTTCAGGAAATGTTTGTTTGAAGTGAAAGACCAGTGATTGCTGCTGAGCAATATTGATGGGTACCCCAAAGGGTAACAGACGGAAGGACGTTCTTACGGACAGACGAAATCCCGATCACTCTATGCAAGCATAGGTATCTGTTGTTCATTATCTGCCCTTTCTGCTCGCTAGATAAGAGTTCCCCCGTTTTGCTTTCCTCCGTGTACCTTCAAAATCCCGGCTCCCGGCCCCGATTACCCACACGTAACATTCAAGGTTTCACTTTCAAATTAGCGGAAGTTTCCTGCAAATTATAGCTATATCTATATGCCATTTTTAAACCATCTTCAAAAGTCATGAAAGGGAATATGCAGAAGAGAATATTTCTCTCCTTATATTATTGGAAAATTTCAATCAATAAAGAAAAATGTTTAAATATTACGCGGGGGAAAAACCAAGGGCTAACTTTTCCTGAGAATAACCTTATGCTGTAGTTTTAATACGTAAGTTTCGATTTGGACTGATGCTCTCCGCTCCCCCATTCTTTTTGTTGTCGGAAGGTCAAAATACCCAAATGAAAACATTCGAAAGAAAAATGTTCTGAAATAGAAATTAAGGTGTAGTGCACAGGTTGTTTGTTTGTGAGTGTGTGCTTGGCTTGTCACTCTTTTTGGGGGTTTCCCCCCTTTGAAAACCGTTGCTACGCGCTTGAAGTGTCTGTTGTGCGATTCTATGCATTATTGGGGCACCGAACCAGCCCCTCCCCCACTTTTTTTTCCAAAAATTGCTGGATCCGCCTTTGTGTACATGGTGACTGTTAGTGTACACCTTTGTACTAAATTATATTCTGAAACGCAAAAGAAACGCAACAAGCAGTAATTTACAAATGTTTGATTGTTTTATCTAATGATTTTCAAAAACGAATACAGTAAGGCTTAACTCACTTTTCAGAACATCAGAGATTTGATAAAAATGTTAAATGTTTATCTTTTTACTTTAATACTAAGTAACATATGACTGTTAAAACACCCCCCTCCCAGACATTCAAGTGAAACGTGCAAGACTGCCCTAAACAACAATTGCTGCTTAATTTCTACGATCAATAGGTTCATCCATATCGAGATCTGAGCGAAGGAATTATTCTTTGCCATTTTTAGATGCCCGTTTTTCAGATGATTAGGTCGAATTTTCTCTAACTTAGAGCAGTGTAGCCACCCTTGGAATTCCGGTACAAGGACTGTCCTTAATGCATATGATACGTATGACCCTGATGAGGCGTAATGTAGTGAATTGTTGCATCAGCAATTCTCCATCACATTTACATTGAAATTTTCCAGCTAGAGCAATGGAAATGCGTACTTAAGCCATTTTCAAGAAGCCTTAGCATCGTTACGGGAAACGAAAGGAGAGTTTATTTTTTGAAATATTGCTGCATTACTTATGATGAACAGTAAAAACCCTTAAAACTCCATAATATTGCCAAATGTTTTGTTAAACATGCAATTTTTGATTTCTGTTAAGCAGACTCAAACTTGACTTCCGGTTATATGGTATGAAAATCGTTCAACCGTTAAATTACCGATGTTTATAAAATTGAAGATATCCATAATTTCAAGATACAAAATTCTTTACTTTACATAATTATTTCCCCCTAAAGTAGGGTGTTGCGTTTCTTTTGCGTGTCACTTTGGGTCTGGTGTATACAAATCAAGCGCACCCTACTGTAGCTACCTTTCAGCTCACCTTAGCCAAGAGCTCGAGGGAGTTTTGAGCTCACCTGAGCCGAGGGCTCAAGTGAGCTTTTTTGATCATATTTTGTCCGTCGTCCGTCTAGCTGTCTAGCTGTCTGTCCGTCCGTCTGTAAAGTTTTCACATTTTCGACCTCTCAAGAACCACTGGTTCAATTTTGACCAAACTTGGCACAAAGCATCTTTGAGTGAAGGGAAATTAAAATTGTTAAAATGAAGGGCCAAGTCCCCTTACAAGGAGAGATAATCAAGAAACTACAAAAATAGGGTGGGGTCATTAAAAAATCTTCTTCTCAAGAACCACTGGGCCAGAAAAGCTGACACTTATGTGGAAGCATCCTGGGGTAGTGTAGATTTTAAATTGTTCAAATCATGACCCCCGGGGGTAGGGCGGGGCCACAATGGGGAATCAAAGTTTTACATAGAAATATATTGGAAAAATGTTTGAAAATCTTCTTCTCAAGAACCACTGGGCCAGAAAAGCTGACACTTATGTGGAAGCATCCTGGGGTAGTGTAGATTTTGATATGTTCAAATCATGACCCCCGGGGGTAGGGCGGGGCCACAATGGGGAATCAAAGTTTTACAAAGTTATGAAGCTACTGTTGTTTAAAGGATATTATGAGTGATCTAAAAATATCAAGATCAATGTTATTTTTCTTTCTATTTGATTAACACTACCAATTGGGGATTTTAAAATATATTCCCCTATTATTGAAAATTTTGTTGATTAAAAATAAAAATGCAAGCATATACTCTTTGTATACTTACTATAAACCTGGCTCTATGCTATCCTAGAGTCCCGACAGCATGTACAGGACGAGCATCCTGATGAATGTCCAATCAGTTCGTAAACATTAGATAATCCATAGAATATCTAATTTCGAAAGAGTTTTTGCTATCTCTATCTCTCAAGTTGTAGGTGGAAATTTAAGCTTATACTTTCTAAGCCCATCCCTTATTCAGAAAAGGACTAACGCGCACAACCTAACATGTATAGACAGGGATAATCTAAATATGTGAATAGATAATCAATTTTACAAACGATAAAAGAAAATATGAAGTATAAGGTCTTGAGAGATAAAAATGAGTACACTGATAACCTAATTTCTTCTCGAAACCTGGTTTGAATTTCCTCCAAAAAATAACTGATGGCAGAATGTTCTTTGTTATAGTCATGCTGATGTCTTCCAGAGAAGTTTTTCAACAGCTTACATGACAGGTCTTTTACAAAATTTATAATATAATAATGGAAATGTTAATCAATGCACATAATTAGCGGTTCCATTTTTTTTTCAAACCGTAAGGAGTAATGATATGATAATTTGTGCCTTCTTACTCAATTTCCGATTCCCCCCCCCCCCCAAAAAAAAAAAAAACTGACGGCACTACTATAGCTTCATTTTTGTCCATGTCTCCCGGAAAAATCTAAATATATAGAGAATCCTGTTATTTATGAATGTTAATAACGGTGTAGTTAATTAGTATATGTTTTCTTTTTTTATTGCAATAATATTGTATTTTGTGTTCAACATGTATAATTTCATATTTGTATTGCATAATTTTTCATTTGTATTGCATACTATTATTTTTTAGCTCTACTGGTCAGAGACCAGAAGAGCTTATGCGATAATAATGCGTCCGTCGTCCGTCTGTCTTTCTGTCTGTAAACAATTTTTCAAAATGCTACTCCTCCTACAGTTTTGGTCTAATTTCAATATAACTTGGCACACAAGTAGACTACACTAATTAAGATATATAATTCTGTTTATCGGTTTTTGATGAACGGTGTTGCCGTCGTTACAAAAAATAGAAATTTCTTTGAAATACTTTAAAATGCTACTCCTATAGTTTTGGTCTGATTTTAATATAACTTGGCACACAAGTACACTACACTAAGATATCGGTTTCTGATTTCGATGGTGTTGTCGTGGTTATAAAAATAGAATTTTTTTGTGAAATACTTTCAAAATGCTACTCTGAATACAGTTTTAGTCTGATTATTATATAATGTAGCATGCAAGAAGACTACACTAAGATACATAATTATCAGTTTTGTGTTTTTGATTTTGATGAATTATGTTGCCATGGTAAGTAAAACTGAAAATTCTGTAAAGTTTTATTAAAAGCTACTCCTAGAGTTCTAGTCTTATTGCAATCTTGCCACAAAAAGAGACTTAATCAAGGCTCAGTATTCTATGTATTGCTTTTGTAAAGTTTCAAGTCCCTACTGCTACTTTTATCTTCCTTTATTTTAAGTACAAACCAGTAAGGCTACAGTCTCGACAGAGACTTCTGGTTTCGTTTTATCATAAATTTTTTATATCACTTGAGTCACTCAGGTGTCTTATTGCTAGTATCTCTTTTCGTCCGTCGTGTGTTAACATTTGTACATTTTCAACTTTTTTTCTGAAAGGGCTGAATGAATGTAAACCATTTTTGGCATGTGACATCTATGAGTGAAAGAAACACTGAAATCCATAGTCCCTGTGTGTTTGGGGGGGGTGAATTGGCAAAAACCATCAAAATCAATGCAAAATTAATGCATTTTTGAAAATTTTCTTCACTCCTGGACACCAAGCAATCAAACTGATGTCATGATTGTAATAAGCGTTGAGCTCTCTACCGAGTTTCTGAAATCAATGGCCCCAGGGTCAGTTTGATTATTATAAGGGTGGTATGCTGTTTTACTCTTGTGTGTATGTCTGTGTGTCCGTCCCAAACAAATTTTTGGTCGCAGTTTTCTCAGCAACTACTCAATACAATCTTTGTATTATTCATATACATTCTTATTCATATACATCTACGCTAATTCTGTCACCCAAGACGAAGTCGGGGAGACATATTGCTATTGTTCTATCAAATATGCGGTTCCGCACATCTTAATCTTAATTAAACTTCACTGATATTATATTGTACGTTCTAACTTCATTTCAATTACTCTACAAGAGTAATCGACGGAACAATTTAATGGTATAACTGCATGTATGTCAAAGTCTACCGTCTAATTCTAACTATATTAGAGTCCTTTTACATATATGTATAAATATATAAATTAAGTTTTGGTAAAGTTACATGTAATTTGTATAATTTCCTTTTTGTTTTATAATTTTTCAAATTTTTATTGCAAAATTTTTTACGTGTATTGTATTTTTTTTTATTAGCGTCTTACCGATAAAAACAGGGTGGTTACATGTATATGTCTCCTCTGCGTCTGTCTAGCTGTCTGTCAATCTGTCCCACTTGGTTTTTGGGACTTCTTTTATTTAATAAAACACTTTTTCTTGCAGATGTTAAAGATGATTTTTTGTATTTGAGTGTATCTTGGTGAGTTTCAGATCAAGTTTGCATTTCTTTCCGTTTCAATGATTTTTGACGAAAATCTTAAAGTTTTTGATTTTCCGCCTTTTTAAACGCTTGTTTTGGAGCTGATCTTTTCATATGTAACTTTATCTTTATGAAGTATAAACAGGTCAAGTGTGAATTTCATTCCACTCCGTTTTTTTATGTCAAAAATTTGTCTGCGAAAATTTTCCAGTTTTATTGTGTCCAAAAATTATAGTTTGTTTTATTATGCGCTTTAAAAAAAGTCATTTGCATTTTTTAAGATGATGAAAATATAATTTTTCGCTACGAAGCACTTTCTGTCTTTCATAAAAATCTTAAACAAAGTTAAAGGAAGGTACAGTTTTTAAAAGGAATCCATCTGGAACAATGACCCCTATATGATTCGAAAATTTTATCATTTATAAAAAGTTCTTGGGATAAAGCATTTTTCCCCTAATGTTAATTATATGTTTGTTTCTATACAACCTTTTCATGATGCAAAATTACATTGTATTTTACAGTAAGAGACGTTTTATTGCATACCGTTCAATTACAATTTATTCATTCAAACCAATTAATGGTACATGAGGTTTTATGTACAATATATACAAAAAATACATATGAAATGCAGAAATACATTCAAATTATGAAGTAACAAAAATACATTTTGGAGGAAAGACTTGTTCATATACTCTATTTAATATAACTGCATATTTTAATTAATACTTTGTAGTCAACAGATGAAAACAATTACAATATTTACTAGGTAGATATTTTTTTCTGCATTCTGAAAAAAATTGACATTCTAAAATAGTGATATTCATCAGCTATTTGTCCACTATTACACAGATGATAAAGTCTATTATTTTGGGAATTTAAACCATCTCCCAGTCTTAACTGGGAGAGGGTGATTTGTTGTTCTTAATTTAATTTTTAGTGTTCTGTAATTTTTAGATAGTAAGTCTAAATATTTTTCAAATCCAAATTCTGTTTTGAAGATAGTGCCCCTTACATGTACTAATGCAATAATACTTGGTGATTATGTTTTTCATATGATTCGAAATGCAAGAGCATTTTGTGAGCAAGATTAATTTTAAAAAGGAGGGATTGGGAAGTAGCTTAATCAACAACAGTATTTTTAAACAGATCACAGCAAGATTTACAATCATATCTTTTTTTTCTACTACATGTGTCGCACGTATAATTTTTTATTCTATTCATATGATTTTTTATATAATATATTATTTTACTATTAAATGGATTTACACTTCGATGTTAAATAAATTTTACTCTAACTATCTTATAGATAGATGTAATGTCTATTAAGGTTCAACACTTCATTCAGTAACGAAGACTTAAAAATACAGGATGTGTTTGTAAAACACTGATGGCCCCGTTTGAGAGCTGATGGCGATTTTTTTTTTTCAAATGCAAGTCAAATAAAAATCGACCAGTGGCAGCAGGTGGGGTAAAGAGCCCAACACATACAATGTATAATCTCTTCTATGACGTCAAAAAGTTTTCAAAATTTGCACAGAGTGTTTTTAATTGGGATTAATTTTATATTCAGCACTAATTGGTTAATTATGTAAACGACATATTAGTACATTTTGCAACTCGTTCTTCGTCGTCACAACCAAAGTCCAGTGTACGATCCTCTTCCATGATGGTCAATTTTTGGAGAGAGTTAATCTGCAAAATCCGAACCGTGACCTGAGACAATGCCCATTCCTATATATACAATCATTGAACCGGTGCTTTAGAGGTTGCTTCCGCTTTCTCAATGATATAGTACATGTACATTATATCTAATGGTTTTACATTTCGAATTGATGTAGCAAAAAAGGAAAACGAAATGCATAACTTCTACTTGATTTCTTTATGAAACAAGGGGATCGCGACTGATTCTTTGACAATTCAATTTCGCTTAAAATAATTAGGCCACTAATTGGCAACACAGAATTATTTCACAAAAATGATCTTTGGGAAAGTTAAAAACTCTTTATAATTTCCTAACAATGAGAATTAATCGCAAGCAAAAATGTATACATGTAATATGTTCTTATCAATGACTATATGTGATGCATGGGTGGTTAGAAATTAATTTTTGAGGAAATCATATGAATCTCTATATGTTTCATCGAGACAGTCGTCTGTCAAAGCCACATCGAATCGAGTTCCCCCGAACACCAAGACGGCGTGTATCAAGGCATCCTCGGACCAGCCTCCATTTGGTCGTCGGAGTTTTATAGCCCCAAGTTTTGTACAGCTTTTTTCAGTGGTATAAGTTGGATTGCGAGAAGATGACTGATAAACTCCTATCCCCTTTATTGCATCTTCTTCACTGGGTGTGTATGTATTTTCAACTTTGTGTCCAATAGGAACTTCCTCACCTTCCCGCACCAATATTTCAAAAATGTGCTGACACATAGGTGTTCCGTCAGTTTTTCTTTTAATTTTGTAATCATTTCGATGTTTTCCTTCAATGAATGGTGTATTAACCTCAAATCCAATAGTAAAAGGACAGACTCTTGAAGAAATGATGCTTGGTGTATGACCAAACAATACAGCGCCTTTTAAGACGGCCAGTCCTGGGTCAGCAGGAGCAATAACCTTCTTGTCAGGGAATAATTCTTTTATAGCTTTTAAAACCATAGGCGATTCGGAAAACCCACCAACTAGGAGAATTTTTGACACAGATTCTCCTTCAAACGAGTTCAGAATTTCTGTAATGTGCTGAATTATTCCTGTTAAAGTCTCTCTGAAGAAGTCTTTGAAGATTTCGGGATCTACTCGCAGTTTTGCGGCCTTAGTATTGTATGTGACTTTCTTGGCAAACCTTGTCTGTGGCAGTGCTTCTGCCAAAGTTTCATCTGTTTGCTCCTTAAATAACTCAAGCAAACGAAAGGGTAATGTAATGGATATTTTGTCCTCAAGATCTGGTTTGATGGTGCGTTTCTTTGTTTCAAAATCGCGAAAAAGTCCGATATAATCGTCCATGCTCTCATTCTTTAGCGTTGTCAAAACATCATTTCCCATGAGCTTGGCCAAAAATTGGTAGAAGGCGTCATCCACTTTGGTTCCGCCCCAGGCCCCGCCTGTGGCTTGGTGAACCTCTCGCAAGTCCTGATTCTGTTGGACCTCATGAACTGTGATGTCAGCTGTTCCTCCTGTAAAATAAATTAATACGAGACAATTTACGATAGTTTTAAAACACCTACAAGTCTGTTGAAGGAATTATTTATCTGATATCATTAGTATACATAGTATATATCGGAATTTCCTTTACCAAATGATGGTTTATGTAAAAGGATGAGGTTTTTCTTACAAGAATTCTAACTGTTGTATTTAAAGAACGTGCATGTAATAAACGTTTTAACTTTTTGAATTAGTGGGACAAGATTGTTTATATTATCGTCCATGCTTATCAAAAGGCTCATTAGTACGATGCAAAAGTAATCACTAAAAATTAAAATCTTAGAAATTAGGTCAAAGATCACGAAGGTCGGGATCAAGGGGTCAGAAATTAAAGCACGCTCGGAAACAGGTAATGAATGCATATGTCAAATATGAAAGTCCAATCTTATCTCTATCAGAATTTATAAGAAATGTTAACAAGTAGGTCAAACTTGATGGATAAGGTAATTTGGTCAAACACATAGTATTTTTTAGAAATGTCTTGTCACAAAAACTAAGAAAATATCCTGTAATATTGATAGGTTGTATGTTTAAAGATAAAAATATAGGGTTATATTAAATATGTGCATTACCTGTGATCAGTCCTTTCTAAACATACTAAGATTTTGACCCCGTGACCTTCTTCTTGAAGTTTGACCCACTTTTCAAAAACTTGATACGTAGTCATAACTTTTGATAGAGAAGATATGGAGCTTTGATGTTACACATGAACATGTATATTACTTACATGTGCATTTTTTTCTTTGATTTTGAAGTTTGAGTTTGACCATTAACCTTGGTCATAAATTTTGATATTGATAAAATAAACACATGTATAACAATAAAAACTGAAAGAGATAATACTTTAAATATGAATGACTTGCTTTAAATCAATAATTGTAAGTCACGATTTCAAGGTTGTCTAATTTTTTTTCAGTAAGGAAGGGCAGATGTTCCAAGACTTATGCATTACCTATAATTTTCCCTTCGTGATGACATTGCAACGGTTTTGGGGAAGTGAGACCTTTTGAGAATAGACTTGCAACACGCGAAGTCTTGGAGTACAGAAATGTTGCCGTCTTGATAACACGATGCTAAAAGCGTGTGTTTGGTTTGGAGGGGGATATAATGATTATATTTTGTCATTCCTCACCTCCCAAATCCAGAACCATATATCGCGTCCCAGGTTTGAATTTGTAAGATTCAGTCTTCCCTTTATTGACAGACATAACTCCCACTGGAACATGATTACAATAAATGGAGGCCGCCTCTGGCTCCAAGGCTAAAACCAACTGCTTCCTGTCAATACCAGCCTGCATAAGTAAATAAGTAAAATCAGACAGTCCACAATACCTACAGCACCATGTATAAGTCCTAAGCTTTTTTCGTACAAGTACTTTACAAAAGTTTCTGTGACATGGGGTCTGATAAAAATATCAAAGCTCCTTTATTTTGATGGTCGCATAGACTTCCACACTACCAGCCCATCAAAAGTAGAGAAGCTAGTGGAAGGTTTGATTGAAATCGGACTGCGTAAGATGCAGTTCTTTTTTCTTTATTGTCAAGAATGACTGAAAACTGACAATGTGACTATTATACTTACGTCAATTGCTGCCTCCATCATGAACTGTTTTGCACCTTCATCCCATATGGCGGGAACAGTAAGTACCCAACGTATTAGGTCCTCAGTGAAGTTGTCTACACGTGATGTCAAAGTTTTCATCAAGTGGTCTTTAAGGTACTTAACAGCCATCGTAAAGATAGTCATCGCTGGCATTTCCACTCCGTTTATATCTTTAATTGTGGTGGTTCGTCGTAAACTCTGCAAAATTATCAACAACTTTGCATTTAGGATGGGAACTTAATAAATATATTTTGTTTATTAATTTAATTCGTGTTAAAATAAAAAAAAGTTGCAAAAGAGCACATCAAAAATGTTAAAGTATTTCGACTAAATGATTTAAAACCAACTTTATTCTTATGGAGAGTCATCTTGAAGCGTCGAAAATATAGCCATCCTTCATGTTCATCGTCTTCTGCTAGTGTTGCATATTTGTTTTCAGCTTCGTATCCAAAAGAATGGAAGGTCTTGTCTGGTTTCAGCAGGACCACTGACGGTGTCTTTAGAGAAATTAATGATTGATTTCCTGCTATCCAGTTACAGGCACTGATTTTGAGAGGGTCTTGGTCAAACTCGTGGCGAAATGAAAATGCATACCCAGAGAAGGTTGTACCAAAGTCAATGGCCGCGACCAAAACTGGTACTGTGAAACTCATATTTCTTCGCTAAAATAAAAAAGATTGAATTGTTATTTCATTTTGAGTATCTGAATTTTAAAGGGATAATGTTTGTCATTCTATGTTTCATTTGGAAGAGATGCTCCTTAAAAAATCTATATGTACACTCAGATGACAAGCTTTGCAGTGTTAAGTGACTGATAAATGACAGAGGTTTCCATAACAAAAAAAGACAGAATATAATATTCCCCTACTATCAACATGATCAATAAAAAAGAAATCATATTATTTCAGGAATCACTAGCTATATAATTTGTTGAGTATGCCAGGGCACTAACGATAATTGGAAACGTAGGATAATTTGCATAATGAGCGAATACTTTTTTCGTAATCGTACATTAATTCTTCCTTAATTTGCAAATGTTGATTTGTCAAGATTTAATCCCAATATATTTTATGGTAATTTTAAACTCGTATAGTAAAAAGGGACTTACATTTCTGCAACAAGCAGTCACCAGCCCCCTAAAATTCCTTCAGTTCACAATAATGACGAAGTGACATAGGAAAATTGTAAAGTTAACCTGTTATGTAAATAGGATTCTATTATCTACTTTCGATTTAATGAAAAAGTAAATATATACAATTTTTGCGATTAATTATATTTAATTAATATTGTAAACTATTCCTCTATAATGTGTAATGAAGTAAATAAAATATTTATATGCATATAAACTATACTTACTGATACCTTCAAGTATGTTTTAAAGTACAGTTTTGGGGGGGATACTGGTCAAACAACAAACAAACATAACGCATTATCTAAATTCTAGTTTCGTTTTGTATTTACAAGTTATCTCTCTCTCTCTCTCTCTCGGGTCCCTATTGTACATGCATATATAGGCATTTGTTAATTCATAACAGTTCAAGAATACAAAACCATTTTTCAAATAATTGAAATACCGAAATGGGTCACGTGCGGAAGTGCGGAATACAAGTGAATCAATAAAACCAGAAGTCTCTGTTGAGACTGAAGCTCTACTGGTTTTTACTTATAGCAAAGGAAGAAAAAAGTAGCAGTTGGGAATTGAAACAGCAATGAATAGAATAATATTTACATCCACTAAATATTTTCTCCTTTATTTCTTAAGAAAACCCATTGCGTTAATCATGCACTGCATGAACTACATTAGACATGTCGTCTGTACAGATTTCTTGATCGGTGGCTATTCCATCAATGAAACGTATGCAGACGTTCGCATCATTAATACAGTTATTAATTTTTTAATCCTACTTTAAATGATTATTTAAACAGATATAAATATAAACAATAAAATGTCTTTCTTTGTTTGTTATTACTGGAATTAACGATCGCAGCTATTGCAAAAAAAAAAATTACATTACGCGGTTTATGTATTTTTTCTGCAACAGCTGCTTCCGTTAATTCCAGAAATAACAAACAAAGAAAGCATTTTATCGTTTAAATGATCCTTGATTAAGTCTCTTTATGTTCTTAGTGTAGTCACATTACATTATAAGCAGACTAAAACTGTATTTGGAGTAGCCTTTTGAAAGTATTTCATAGAAATTTCTATTTTTAGTAACCACGGCAACACCGTTCATCGAAATCAAAAACCGATAGAAAGAATTATGTATCTTATTGTAGTCTACTTGTGTGCCAAGTTATATTGAAATCAGACCAAAACTGTAGGAGGAGTAGCATTTCACAGAAATTTCTATTTTTCTATTTTTAGTAACCATGGCAATACCGTTCATCGAAACCATAAACCGGTACACCGAATTATGTTTCTTAGTGTAGTCTAATTTTGTTCCAAGTTATATTGAAATCAAACTAAAACTGTAGGAGAAGTAGCCTTTTGAAAGTATTTCATAGAAGCTTCTATTTTTAGTAACCACGGCAACATCTTCATCGAAAGAGAATTAAGTATCTTAGTGTAGTCTACTTGTGTGCTAAGTTATATTGAAATCAGATAAAAACTGTAAGAGGAATAGCATTTTGAAAAAAAAATGTTCATAGACAGACGGACGGATAGCTAGACAGACAGACGAGCGACGGACACATTACTAGCGCATAAGCTCTTCTGGTCTCTGACCAGTAGAGCTAAAAAAGAAAAGCTACATCACATGTTACCGTGTAACTTCCTTGTCAGTTTTATATTAGAGGCAAGGTCAAATCAAGGTCATTATCTTTTTCCTTGACATTAAGAATAAAACACCGTTGCCAATCATGTGATGCCTACTTCTATTTCAAAAATATTGTTCTTTTTGCATAAAAAGATATTACTTTATCGGGTCCATAGCATGATATTACCAAAGGAGTTTTCCACTTATGTATAGTAGCGTGGTCCCATTTTTGCCCTTATTTTACAGAATCTACACGAGGATACGGTATTATTTTTAGTTTCATTGTGTATAACAAACTTAAGTATTTCTAATTAACATTTTGTACAATCATTATTCATAACTTGGAATATCAAGAAATTAGCTGCAATAATGTATAACTCTCCCTTTTTTTTGGGGGGGGGGGGGTACAACTCCTTAGGATTTCGGCTCAAATTGTCAGTAAACGGCTATTTTACTAATATGTCTTACCTGGACTTCCAAAATGTAGTTATCCCAGACATAAATTAATCCAAAAATATACAGAACTTCCCATATATCCGTATTATTTGTGTATGTCAACATCAACAACTTTTTTTTTAAATTTGTAAATATAAATAATATATTTGAAATTATCATTCGTCTTAATTTGGCGATATATTGTAATATTGATTGCAATTAAAATCAAATAGAGTGCCATTTGATCAGAATTCTTGAATGATGAAAAGCGCGCCAATTTTCTCCGTGGAACCTTATTCGATCATTGACAATTTCTGGTACGACAAGAAAACACCTAGCAGGATGAGTCGAAAGAGGATCCCAAATTGTTCTCAGATTGAAATCGATATAATGCTTGATGAGGGAGAAAACACAAAGCCATTTTATTTTCAAAGTTTTCCAACGTATCTACAGATTCTTCAAAGAAAAAAGCATTGTACTGTAGGCAATATATGAGAATATTAAGGCAAATTACTTCGACAACTGTAGGACAATAGAAAGAGTCTCTCTCTCTCTCTCTCAGGTTCATTAGTTTTACATCTTACTATATATATGTTGTGCATCTGCGTGAGGCACTTTATGTCACAAGAATTCTAACCGTGGGTATTCTTGGAAAGTAGATGCATGCAGGCACGTAATTTAAAATGGGGGAGGGAGGGGGGTCTTAACATAATTAATAAAAGTAAAGTAAGGGTAACGTAGTAGTGTATGAGTAAAGGCACTGAAATAAGTTGGAACCTAGCCCTCTCCTTCTTGTTCAGCATGAAAAAGAATTTTCGAAAAAGAATTTTTTTTTTTTTTTGCTTACTTGTCAAGTTTTTTTTGTAAGTTGGATTCTTTTTCTACGGTCCCTTTTAAAAATGATGCTACGTCTCTGGCATATGTAATTGCCGTACATGTATCTCTAAATACTCGGCCAGGTTTGATACGACGATTTCGTCGAGCATGCACGTTTTTGCTTAATATAGTCTTAAGATATGTCAAAAGCTGTCGTCACTTTAAGATAATTCTTAAGAACTTTCTTAAGTTACGATACTTTCGAAAACCCAACTTAGTCTTAAGAAATGTCGTAAGTATATCTTAAGAAGTTTCTTAGTCCCAATATAGCTTCGTAAACATGCCTGCAGATCAACAAGAGGTTAATCCTATGTAAATGTACTCACCAAACAGATTCAAAACCATGATATTTTTAAGCAGAAAACATAGAGCGCAAGGTTGTTCAACAAAGATATTTACACACTATCTGTATAAATATAATATACACATTATATTTTGATTTCGACTTTGAACAAATCTGCGCTCGATGTTTACAAAAGCTGTGAAGTGGGTACTTGTCACAAATTTCTTTTGATATTCATGAAAATCAAGGACCGCACCTTCAAAACACAGCTTGCCGTGTTGTTTTTTGCAATTATTTGTTATTTTTAAAAGTTGGCGCATATACATGTACTACAGACTTAAGAGAATAATATAATTTACTTTTTAAGAGTCTTAATGAAAGTTTAAAATTTGACGAGTAACCAAGGACCACAGATAATGGCTTATTGAGACTTCTTCTTTATATGAATAATTTAACTAAACTAGATATTTCTGTCTTTTTCTTAATATTTTAGGATATATTAGTTATTTTCATATGCTTCCTATTAACTTTTTCTTATTTTCACATATAATAAAGAGTGACTGTCTTATAAATGTACAAAATGATACAAAAACAAAACGTTTTGATCGTTTACTAAGAGAGAAAAAATACTTTTTATGGATTTTTTGCTCAAATCTGTACTTTGATTGCGTTTATAAGCTAATATAGTTCTAGTTTGTTTGAAAAATCATATTTAAGTTTAGTTATTTGTTATTAATTCAACTTACATTTGAAAATTTCTTCAAGTCTTTTATTGTGTAGAAATTATAACTAAATTCATTGTTCTATTATAATTTCGAGAGGCAGAAAAGAGGATATTTTCATACGCCACCATTCCGCCAAAAATATAGTCCCTGCTAATTTTCAAACGTAGTTTACCATTTCTATTTAAAGTTGTACAATTGTGATGAGGAAAGAAAAATATGGTCTTTTTAATCCCTTACACCTACAGTATGTAAATATGTAAAACATATAAGCAAATATACTTTGAATGTTTCATCTAGTCAGAAACCAGAGAAGAATCCTACCTTAAATAATCAAGCACAGGAGTCTGAAGTTTTTATCGTAAATAAAAAATGCGGAAAAAATTTCCCACCCTGAACTAAAAAAAAAACAAGGATGGCAACGTGTTTTGGGGGGACCCAACTAAACAAATAGATCTGGGCTTGGCCAGAAAAAATTCCCGACTAAATCAGTATCCGGAGCGTTTGTGTTATTTATTCAAGTTGAAAAATCCAATCAGCTTGACTACTACGGGCCGTGCATGGCCTTTTTTCAACATTGACAGCTAATCCTGGACTCCATGCCACTAAACCGGAAGTGAATATCGCAGTGTATATTTGACGTCTTCAAAAGCTTGTTCAAATAAAAATAAAATAAATAATTGTTCAATGTAATTTGTTTAAGTTATTTTAAATACAATGTATATTTAAGAGAACTTTAAAAGTTATCAAATCTTTTTCTAATTTATATGACGATAATATGTACCAGGGACAGATAATTCAGTTTTTACAAGGCGCCAAATTTAAATCATTGAAAAGCCAAGTCAACAAAAAGCCAAACAGCTAGACTTAGCGACCTGATGAGGCATTATTTTGTTTGAAAAAATTATTTTTTATTGATCACATATGGTAACATAAAATTGTACCTGAAGTTTTACATGCTATTTTTTGTTTATATTCTTCAATTATACGTCAAATATTCACTGTGGAGTTCACTTCCGGTTTAGTGGCATGCAGTCCAGGATGAGCTCTCAAAGTGGAAAAAGAGCCAGTAGTCGTCAAGCAGATTGTATTACTTAACTTGAATAAATAGCACAAACACTCCGGAGACTGAATTAGCTGCGAAATTTTTCTGACCAAGTCCAGATCTATTTGTTTAGGTGGATCCCCCTAAACACGTTACCATCCTGGTGTATTTTTTAAAGTTGAGGATGGAAAAAATTATTTTCCGGATTTTTTTATTTTGACGATAAAAACTTCAGACTCCTGTGGAGATAGAGACTTCAAAGTAGTGCTCAATTTTTTTTTTTTGAGAATGTAGTT